ATTTTCCCGTTTGCTGAGGTTTGTTTGGTTATCCTCTAGGTCACTGGTGAGATTCTCTGCCTCCTCCAGTCTGTTGGCAAAGTCTGTCCATTTTCCACTGGATTTTGTATTTATCCCTTAAGTCTTTTTTTTCCCCTTTGGTGCGTTGCCTTTATCTCCTCTATTATTTCATCCTATTTTCTGTATTGGTTCCCTCAAATCCTATATGACTCCAAGCAGCATTCTGAAAGTTTCTTTCTGTGGCAGCTCAATGTCTTCTTCTTCTATGCACACTGTTATGTTCATGACGTCTTCTGGCATTGTCTTCTCTTTCTCCTGCTTTTTAGTTGAGGCTGTTAGGATTGGTAGCTGTTTACGTGTTATTTTAGAGGAGCCTGGAACAATCTTCCAGAGCCGTAGAGCACTGGGCTCTCTCTTGGGGAACTCATATGAGTGCTTATATGAACTACCTGCCATTGGCTGTACTGAGGAGTCATGCTATTACTATATCTTCCTCTTGCTTCACTCTTACCCTATCCAATCAGAATTCCATTATTTGGAATGTGAGTTGGATAGTCTTCTCATGTGTAGCTGGTCGGGTTGTTGTGGGCCCATGAGGGTGTTGCTTCATTGGCTGATCTCTAAGGAAACCTCACGATGCTTGGTGTACTTCGGTATCATATGCTGTTTCCCTCTGCAACTGGAGTGCCAAGGAGGGCATGTGGGTATACCCTCCTTGGTGTAGAGTTCTGTTTCTGTCAAGAGGAATTACCAAGGGGTGTTCCCACAAAAGCATGGAGGCCCACCAGTGGTGGGTAGGAGTTTTCCCCAACCCTTTGTAGGGCCTCAGGCTTTAGGCTTGAGTTCTCCCCACTGTTTCAAGGGGGAGAAACCCCTGCTGCTTGATGCATGGAAGAGCACTGGCATGATTTCCCAGCTGTGTGTAAAGCCAACAAATATGGGTGGGAGCTCCCCCAGTTGGGCCTTCAGAGTTGCCCTAAGCAGAGGGGAGTGGCCTGGAGGCTGCTAGTGGCTTGTGAAATGAAAGATAGGCAGAGAAGAAGAAGAGAGAAGGAAAACAAAGGTTTGAGCAACAATGCTAAGCAAACTAAAACCCAGTCACACACACACAAATAAAATGCACAGCTAAACAAAAGTGAAGACAGTAAAAAAATAAATAAAAAAATAATCCAAAAAACAGGATCACTGAATCTGCAGAGATGATGGCAGGAAAGAGAGAAGAGACAGTAGAAGAAGTGAAAAGAAAAAAGTGAAAGAAGAACAAACTGAATGAATGAAAAAGAAGAAAAAAGAAAGCAAAGGAGAAAATATTAAAAAAAATAGATCAAGAGATAGCTGAACCCCGTGCCATGCTGTGTGTAGCACTGTCTCGTGCTGTGTGCATCACTGTCTTAGGGGGCACGCTGTAGCTCCCCCCCTGAGTGGGCAGAGTTGTCCTAGGCAGAGGATAGGGGTCTGGAATCTAGCAGTGGCATGTGGAAGGAAAGAGAAAGAGAGGAGAGAATCATAAAAGCAGAGAGGAGAAGAGAACAAAGAAAGAGAGAAGAAAGAAATGAAAAGAGAAAGAGGAAGAAGGGGGAAAACTCAACTGTGTTCACTAGATTGGCTGTGATGGTAAAGAAGGAAGTAAGAGAGGAGGAGGAAATAAAGAATAAAGAGGTAGCTGATCCCTCATTGCCTGAATGTGGGGGCAGAGGGGTTTAAACCCGGCCCCACGATGGCAGGTTGGTGTGCCACTTTAATGCAGGGACCCACTGGTGCTGGGTGGAATTGCCCTAGTTGGTGAGATCACCTTAGAGGTTTGACAGAGGTTTCCTCAGCAGCGTGCTGCACTGTAGATGGCTGTCACACCTGCCTCGTGTGGTGTGCAGCACTCCCACAGAGGTCAGCCTGGAGTTCCTCCTGCTCTTTGGGTTGATTTGCCCTAGGCAGAGGGTAGTGGCCTGGAAGCCAGTAGTGGCATATGACAGGAAAAAGAGTGAGAGAAGAGGAGAAAGTGGGAAAAAGAAAAAAAGAGGGAAAAGAAGAAAGAAAGTGAGAGAAAACACAAAACAAACCTGATCCTGTTGAGACCAACTGTGGTGGGAAAGATTTAAGGGTGAGTTAGTAAATAAAGAAGGAATAGAGTGGTAAGTAAGGAGGTAACTGAGACTTGATCACCTATACGTGGGGCTTTAGGAGTTCCAACTCTTCCTCAAGGTAGCAGGGAGGTGTGCCCGCTTGATGTAGGGTTCCACAGATGCTGGGTGGTATTACTCTTGAAGGCAAGATCACAACAGCAGCCAGACTTCAGTTCCCACCTCAGTTTTGAGCGCTGGAGTCCACTGGTATACCTGCCTTGTGCTATATGTAGCACTACAGCTGGGATGTGGGGGTGGGGTGTTCCCACAGCCCCGTGTAGGGCTCCAGGACAGGCAGGACCTCCCCATCTGTGTGTAGAATCACTGTGAGGGAATCTGGGCCCACTGTACTATCTAGACTGCTGGTGCCCTATTAGATCAGAGAATTTTATTTTTTATTTTTTCCCCTGGCCAGCTAGAATAGAATCAAATTAAATTGTCTCCCTGGCTCTGGACTCTCATTGTCTAGTTTTGACAGGTATATGAGGTGATTGAAAATACCAGGGTTGGGTTTAGGTCCACTTAGTCTACCCTGATACATATATTTCCTGATTCCAAAACTTAGTACCCACTTTTTCTGTTTTTCAATGACTGCCTATGGATTTATATAGAGGTTCCAGATGAGCATAATTCCCTTTTACATTAATTGTATAATTACTGCTGCTTGTACTATTTTATTGATTGTGAAATGAATAAGTTATTTAAAATTTAATGTCTTATTACCAAAAGTATAGTTTTGGGAACTTAGCCTAGTATGATGCTTCCAGTAAGAGTGGATTTGGGGGCCTAGACTATCATGGATTCATCTTTTCACACAGTGTGTTCACTCTGGGGCAGTTAATGGAATATCCATGAAACCACCCACACCTTCATTATTCATACTGTCTTTAAAAACCTACTGCATTTATTTAATTTTTAACCTTTGAAAAATCCAAAAATTAAATCTGGAAAGTTAAAGCTAAAACTACTTTTGTTTTCAGATTAAAAGAACATTTATGTCTTCCCACTCAAAAGGAGACAGATGGTTGTTAGCAGGGCTATATTCTGTCTGTATTAAAAGATCATCATTTACTCTCCCTTTTGGGCAGACCCAGGAATCTTTGGGAATTCCATCTGTTTTAGATGGATTCTCACTTAAAGTTGTTCCTTTATATGTATGGATTTATAATTCTGTCTTCCTTTTTAATAAGGCACAACTCAGAAAATTATTTGACACACCCATCCAGCACAATCCATTAACATAGCAAAAGAAAATTTTACTGCTCAAGAGGATTATTTTTACAGGTACAGAGGTTAAGACCTCAAGTGAGGCAAGATTTAAGTCATAACACAACCCACTATTATAATTTTTAATACTCTAGTATTGTGGAAAAACAACTTCAGTATCATATATTTTCGACACTATAATTTATACTCTGCTTATTGATCATTTGAGATGTCTTATTTAAGCCTTCATCTTGCAAATCAAAAGTACTTTACTTTCATTATTATGAACTTAAGATCCTAGTTTGATCTTACAGCTATGAATTTGACTAAATTCAAAGGAGAAATAAATTGAACATATCTGATTTGAAGGAGAGAAAAAGAAAATGAATGAAGGAATACATTTTATTCAAATTATTGCCTTGCTGCAAGAAGGAGGTGGGTAAAAAATGATGGATTATAAGACATTGGGAGGATTTCAAGAGTTAAGGTTTACAGAGATAAATGGTGTTATATACATAATTCTGCTACAGGAATGACCTACGAGTAGATGCTGAGATAGATATGCAGGCTGAACAAATGTGGGAGGGAAAGTTGAAATATGCCTATGAATATATAAAGATTTTACAGAGCAAAGTTGTATGTATATGCTTATGTTTGCTGCAAATGTATCCATAAAGGTGGTGAAACATACAGGAAACAAAATTATAAATACTTCTTAGGCATAACAAAACTCTTTGAAGGAGTGACTCATGGGCGTGGGAGATCAAGGGAACAAGGTCTTTTGACATAGCATAGTTCACAAAGACAATGCTCCTATATTCTTTTCAGGTGTGTTGGGTCTGGGGTCTTAAATGCTGATGAGTATCCATCTAAGATCCAACCATTGGTCTCTGTCCATCTAAAAGAAAGGAGACTGATGGAAATAGAAAGCCATGGAAACCATAAAAACAATTGACTAAAGGACCACAAACAGTCTCCATGATGACCCTGAGATCCAAACTAGAGGTGCCTGGATACCACTACCAAATTCTCTATAAAGGATCACATTAGAAGGTCCTGTGGAGTAGTGGGAGTAGAAAAATGCAGAACAAAATGTAGCTATAAAAGACACCAGTTTTACTGTTCAGGTAGACTAGTGGTACCCTGAGACAATGGCCCTTACCCTTCAGGTCTAGAACTAAACTCACCCCTGTGCTAGCATAACCAATCATTTAAGAGCAAAATGGCAGCATTTACTCAAGGACAAGGTTCAGAGGGTTAAGAAATAAAGAGGAAATATAGAGGGAGTGTGATACGTACATTGAGGGTATTGCAATCAATGAGTTAAAACAAAATGTATATGAATTGTTGAATATAGTAGATATAAAAGCTAGATGCCTTCCCCCTCACCACCACCCCAGCTTAATTATTACTTTGTTTTGAAATTTTAGGTAATTACTGTAAACCGCTCTTTGCGGCTTATAATGAGAATGTAAGCATCCTCATTATACAAATAACATTTGTCTTAATTAGATCTATATTAACAAATTCTAGAATGACACCTAGAAAATAGCACACAGTAAATTCTATACTGCTGTAAACAATGTAAAAATACACAAAATAGTCTTCAGTTATTAATTATGGTTTCTTGAATGCGATTACGTAAGATTTTGATTCTTGTTCTTTCTTTTTCAGTGGGATTTAGTGTGTGATTTTCGGTTGATGAAATCCCTTTCTCAGGCCATCTACATGACAGGGCTATTTATGGGTTTAGTAACTGGAATAGTTTCTGACAGGTAAGTCTAATTTAGTAAACAAGACACTTGCTACGTACTCCCTAAGTATTTATAATGTGAAATATCCTGTGTAAATTCTTATCAAGAGGGATGCACACTAAAGGGAAACTAAGAAATACAGAAGATATAAGCCAAATAATAAAGATGAACATGATTCAAGGTGATGTGAAAATTTGGAAGACTAGACTCCATCATGCAAATTTATCAGACTTAAAATTTGAAATGAACCTCAAAAAGGCATTGCTAAATTGATTAATCTCAGGTGATCAAACAGGAATAATTAAAAGTGGAGAGGTAAGTGATCCTAAGAAGAGCTGAGTAATAAAAGTTGATTGATAAAAAGTGGAATAAAGAGAATAACTAAATACAAGGTAAAGAATCTGAGATTGCCAAGTGCTCTGGATGCTCATTTATTAATTTTTATGTTTATTATAGTAGGTAAAACAGGCAGAAGGGTTTGAAATTCTATTTTTTTGTATGTGAGGCTGTTTTAAAGGATTTGGCATTCTCAGAATATCAACAGGAGAAGATTGATTTGGTAGCAGTTTGCAAAACAATGTGATAAAGGGATAAAAATATGAGAAGTATGGAGATTAAGAAATGGTTGGCCGATGGGTATTGACTTGGGTGGAGTGGAAGATGGTAATCTACAGGAGGGATAAGGGATATCAGGGAGTGGGAGAGGATAAGCAGATGGGAGGGTGGTGTTGAATAGTTTAAATTGTTGAATACAAAGTTGATGATCTGAAGTGTAAACCCCCAGCTAACTCACAATTTAATTTTTTGTTAAAAAAAAGGTGGCCTGCAGGGTGCAGGGTCCGCCTCTATTGGTGGACATACCACCGATGGAATGCTCTACCAAAGAAAGCAATGTTCAGCTTCAAGCTCATCAACTATTATGCTATTTGAAAAGAATGTTCAGCTTTAAGCATCAACTATTATGCTACTTAACTTTGGAAACTTAGACCTGGTCTTTTAATTTTAAAATAAAAATAAAAATGTTTTGTCACACACACACACACACACTCAAAAGATATGGAAAATTTTCCATGTGAATTGGATTAGGGTAATACTATAGAAGATGAAAAAAATATGTAAGATGACAATGCTATCCTCAAGGAAGGAAGTAATTCAATAAATGGACATGGATAGAGGAGAGAACTCTAAAATAGGGCAATATTCAAATTGGTAAGATTTATTTTGATGGGACAGAAAGAGTAAGATGGCTTATGCAAATAACAACTTTAATTTATCTAAACATTGTAGTCAAGAAGAATGTTCAACAACATTGAAAATGCATAAATAAAACATGTATTCTTTAATTCATGACAGAGAAATAATAAGAAATTACAAGAGAGCAATAATGAAGAGCCTAGGCTAAAAGACCTTATATTGAACATGTAAACCCTGATTTTGCCATTACCTGTCAGATAGCCATTGTTTTTGGACTGTGTGGATTATTTATCTTCTTTTTAAAATGGTGATAATTATTATATCTGTATCTCAGTTGTTTAGATAGAATGTGATAATCTGGTAAACAAGTCAATTGTAAAACACATCAAAAGTCAGTGAAAAAGCTGGTAATACCCTTTTTATTACTGACAAAAGGAATAAGGTATATAACAATTGGAGAGATGAGAGATACCCTAGGTCAATTGTGAGTGGCATTTTGTTCTTTTGTAATACAGAAATGTATGAGAAAAGGTATCATAAAAATCACTTAATGGAAGAGCAAGCTATTCCAGAACTAGACTCTAAATAATCTCATAAATTAAAGTAAAAAATTTTTCTTCCTGGTTGAAGATCCTCTAGGAAGTCATCATTTGGGAGACACATTTATTCACTAAATCACCCAGATATTTTTTCCCACAAGCTGTAGGACTATTGTGGCTTGGAGCAGTTGACTAATTATGAATGAAAGTAATTGTGTGACGTTTAGGATCTTGTCTTACCAAAAATACATTTGGGGGCACTTAACTGAGTAGTATGCTCACACTGAGAGTAGACGTTGGAGCCTGGACCACCATGGAGTCCTCTTCATAACTTGTGTTCACACTGGACCATTTAATGGAAGCCCATATGAAACTGTCCACACTTTTATTATTCGCGCTTTCTTTAAAATGTACTATTTCTATTTACTTTATGGTACTGGAAAGCTCAAATTGGGGAGTTCAAATTTGGGGAGTTCAAGGTGTACTGTTTTACCGCTGCTTTTATTTTCAGGCTCTCTGGGTCTGCCCACTCTAGAGACAACCTAGGGACATGCTCTAGGAAAGCCAGATGAGTCCAAGAATTGATGGAATGTTCTCTTATGTAACAGAAATACGTTCTGTGAGGCCAGTTGTCATTGTTGGACTAATTTAGCTGCTTGCATGACAGAGCTGGCCGACAGCCAGTGTTGCTGCTCTCTTGTCTGCTGTCCGGAGCCATTGGTACCTGCTATTCCTTTGCTCCTACTTTTCCCACTTACTGTGTTTTGAGATTCCTGTTGGCAGCTTTTGTGAGCACCGTTGAAAACATCAGCATTGTATTTGGTAAGTTTACTTTCGTCTGTGCCCATGTTGAAATAAAATTTTGAAGAGGTCTCTGTGACCCGTTATTTACTCTCCTGAATTTCTCTTAGGCCGTTGAACGGAGTAACTCCAAATGGCGCCCTACCGTCGTCGCAGCAGTAGGATTTGCGTGGAGCGCAGGCCAGGCATTGCTGGGTGGACTGGCTTATGTTTTCCGGGATTGGTATACGATCCAGTTGTTCATCTCTGTCCCTTATTTAGTTTGCTTTCTGTTTTTATGGTATGTGGAATTTGCTACTTATCAATACTCAAAAGATTGATATGAACAAAATTTTGTTTATTTCTTCTAAGCCCTAGTTTGTCACCAGTCTGTACTTAGGGCAGTCATCTAGTAATACTGAATAAAAATATACAAAAAAGAAAAATTTGTTTTCTAAAGTATCCAGCTATGTAGAAAATGTATTAGATAAACTGAATTGATAGTTTAATTGTACTAAACCTTTTTTTTTCCAGAGGCAAATGATGAGGACATAAAGAAAATGCTCCAATAATAGCAAACATTGTAAAATTTTTAAGTAATATAAAAAAGTAACTAATTTCTCTCTTTATTTGGAAATAAAACCCTTTTATCCTTCTGTTTTCTTCTTTTAAATTCATAGACTGAGACCAAGTACTTTTAATGTATATTTAATTTTTAGGTGCACAAAAAAATTAAGTTGAGCATTTCTCTATATACTCCACCTTACCCACACACATATAGATACTTCCCTTTAATATTAGAAGTGTTCATTAATGTGAAACATTTGTTAAATTTGATTAACCAAAATTGAGATAACTTTATTAGTGAAATGCCATAGATGATATTAGAGTTTATTTTTCCAGTTGTACAGTTTTGTGGGGTAGAGCAATGTATGAGGGCAATTTATATATCATGATTGTATCACTCTGAAGTTTAAGTGCCCTAAAATTTCCTGATCTTTTCCTTATTCAGTCTTTCCACTGAGAATGTCTGACAATCGTGCATTGTTTCACTGGTTCTGTAGTTTTGCTCTATCCAGAATGCATATAGTTGGGCTTATGTGAGAGGATTTCGAAAGTTTATGGGAAAATTCAATTTTTCTTAAACAAAACCACTGCACTTTGTTGTATACGATACACTGTCAACCAAACATTTGCTCAACACTATTCTGCACAGCCACACTTTTAATAGCCAAATATTTTAAGAAGGGACAGTTGTGTGTCAATTAGGTAAGTAATAAATACTGATGAACACTGTCCCACCGTTATAATGACACTGTCATTTCTCCCTAAAGCCAGAGCCACTTTAATGGCTCTTTCTTTGAATGATTGCTTTCTTATTCACTGAAAAATTTTGTTCGTTGATTGCATAATTCCATAAATCTGCTGTTTGCAAACATAGTAATAAGAATGAAATATCTCAGTTTTATTTACATATTATTTTTAAAAATCAGTTTATTGGGAGCTCTTACAAATATCATAACATTCCATAGTTCAAGCACACCCAGGAGTATTGTACAATTGCTACTACAATCTGTTTCCAAACATTTTATTTCTTCTTGAAATCCTTGATACCAGTTCCCCTTTATCCTTTCCCCCCACCCACCCCCCAGGAACCCTTATTTATTCATTTCTGTATCTTACACCATCCAACATATCCATTCACATGTAATTCTGTTGTTCACTCCCCTTGAGTGGGGTTATACAGTCATTAATACTATTAGCTCCTCCTCTTTTGACATAAAATAATGTTTCCACTGTAAGCTCTTCAATGGCAAGTGAAGCACACATTGATTGTATTCATATGGGCCATCTCAACTGTGAATTGTTCTATATATTATAAGGTATGGTAACCCCTAAAGGCTGTCCTACATCTCTTACATTCATAGGGTTTCTCTCCACTGTGAGTCTTTATATGTCTAGTGAGTGCTGAGAGCTAGCTAAAGGCTTTCTCCCTTTCCTTACCATTGCCTTTTCATTCCATATGTTCCCCACAAATGTTTGTTGTTCGGTGCTGTTGAGTTTGTTCCAAGTCGCAGTGTCCTCGTGTACAACAGGACGAAACACTGCACGGCCCTGTGCCATCCTCGCAATCATGGCTTTGCCGGAGCCCACCGTGGCAGCCACTGTGTCACTTTATCTCCTTGCGGATTTTTCTCTTTTTCACTGACCTTCAGCTTTCCAAAGCATGATGTCCTTCTCTAGGAACTGGCCACTAGAGACAACATATTCAAAATATGTGAGATGAAGTTTTGTTCTCCTTGTCTCTCAGGAGCTTTATGGCAGTATTTCTTTCAAGACAGATTTCTTTGTTCTTCTTTTAGTTCTCTATATTTTCAATATTCGTTGCCAACACTTAATTTAAAGGTATCATTTCTTCTTAAATCTTCTTTATGAACTCGATAGCTTTTGTGTGCATATGAGCTCACTGGCATCAAGTCAACTTCTACTCCTAGAGACCCTGTCAGATAGAGTTGTTGTTGGTAGGTGCCCTTGAGCTGGTTCCTGCTAATAGTGACCCTTTGTACAACAGAACAAAATGCTGCCTGGTCCTGTGCTGCACTCACAGTTGTTTTATGTTTGAGCCCATTGATACAGGACAGAGGAAAACTGCTTAACTTAAGATACATGGATTGGGACATGCACACCTGTGTTTCCAAGTGACATCTTTGCTTTGTAACACTGCTCCACAACTCAAAACTAAACTCACTGCCATGGCACTGATTCTGAAAGGAGCCTTAAAGGTGTAGTGGATTATGTGTTGGGCTGCTAACTGAAAGGTCAGGAGCTCAAAACCACTAGCCACTCATGGGAGAAAGATGAGACTTTCTATTCCCATAGCATAATGATTTACAGTGTCAGAAACCCACAGGGGCAGTTCTGCTCTGCCCTACTGGGTCACAAAGATTAAGAATATGACTTGGCACTGTTGGTTGGTATAAAACCCAAAGCCGCTGTCATTGATTACATTCTGACTTGCGTGAGCACTGTGGAACCGAGCTGGACAGCTCCACGGGGTTTTTGAGATGGTCAACCTTTATAGGAACAGACATCCACATCCTTCTTCCACCAAGAAGTGGTGGATTTGAACCACAGACCTGTTAATTAGCAGCCTCATTCTTCAACCCACTGCACCACAATATAGAACATTGTGAACATATAGAACAATTCACAGTTGAGATGGGGAATCCCTTTCTCATGGTCCCAAATCAGAACATTATTCTTCTCATTTTCAAGGCATAACATGGAAAAGATCAAGGCAGAACTGTGGTAGTAAGAAGTAGATGTAGTGTTCTTTGAAATTATGAGAGCTTTAAGCATGGGGAAGATGGTTGCTTTCCATGAACTATAGGGCACCTCTCTGCGCTGAAATGGGAAAATTTCCATATCACAATATATCTGTCTTCTTTCATACAGTGGGAATGTAGAGTCTGCCCAATGGTTGATTGCAACTGGAAAAACAGAACTAGCATTAAAAGAACTCCAGAAAGTTGCCTGGATCAATGGAAAGAAAGATATAGCAGACAGTCTGACAATTGGGGTAAGAAGGGGATCACTGCTGTCCCTTGAATCCTATTCTTTACACTGCCAACACATCAGAAAATTGAATGAAGCCAGGCATCCTTCAGCTATATGGGAGCAAATGTGGTGGTCCAGTGATAGAGTTCTTACCTTTCATCCCAGAGACCTCGGTTTGATACCCACCCAATGGCGTTCAAGCACAGCCACAAACTATATCAGTGGATGCTTACATATTGGCTAGATTCTGAATAGGTTTCAACAGTGCTTCCAGGCTAACAAAGACCAGAAAGAAAGGCCTAGTGAACTATTTCTGAATAGTCAGCTAGTGTAAACCTTTGGATCACAATAGATTCATTCCATAAATCAGGAGTCCATCTGATTGCAGCTAACAGCAAGGGCAACATTAATTTACATAGCCAAGAAATATAGGAAGTGAGTGAAGAATCAGATCCTGCCTGGTATT